GACACCAAGCTCAAATCGTGCGCGACGACCACGAAGAAGTCGGGGTCAGCATCGAACGTCGCGACCTTCTCGAGCGATACCTGGGAGGTCACCGGGTCGGCATAGAATGAGCCAGGGAGGTCGGAGATGGCGAGGAGCTGCTGGGCGCGGGAGCGCATGTCGAAGGCGCCGACGCGCGACTTTGGGGACCAGAAGAAGTCGGTGGAGATGGACGTTTTGGTCTCCTCGAGCAGATGCGCGGGGCACGGGAAGGTCTTCTGGAAGTCAGGGCGCGGGCGGGCCTGTCCAGCGTGGTGGAAGGTGTCGCCACCGAGCGAGACAAAGGAGGTCGGGGTAACGCGTGCGAGGGCACTGATGTGGCCAGGCAGGTGCTGTCGGGGTGTGTGAGTAGGTCGCTACGATGCACGGCGAGTACTCACACCGGGCGTGTCTAGGAGATAGAAACTTCCGTCACCGAAAAAGTCGATGGCTTTTAAGCCGCTGAAAGTGAGTTTCGTTGTGTTGAAGTTCAATATAGTGACGTTATGGCCGCTACACGTGGAACGGTTGGATGAAAGTGGCTGGATGGACCGGGGGAAACTTACGCGAAGTCGCTTTCTTGCACCAACGAGTTAGGAGAATCTGGGAAAGTCGCAGTGTCTGTGCCAGGCCCAATTACGAGATCTGTGGTGTTCGGGAATTTACTCATATCGCCTATTCAAATTTGATTAGGTATAGACATCGGCTCTCGACTGAAAGCTTGCCGATGTGGTCAAAGTGCTAGACGTGCTCAAAGGTAAATACCGACTCTGGACCTGGGAGTAAAATCTTACCGAATGACTGTGAATGTTAATATGAGGAGCACTCGTTTTCAATAGGGACGGCTCACCTCCAAACGACGGTATTTATGCTCGCAAGGGCGATCCCACCGTCCTCAAGCAGCTCCGTGATACCCTTCGGTTCATTGAGCTTGGCCAGCCCGGAGGAGAAGAAGGCAGCAAGGTTAGGGACGAGGTTCTGCGGGTCGACCCGCGTGCCGAGGTCGAACATGAGACGTTTCTGGCTCGCCTTGTGCTCCACGAGGAACGCATATGCCGGAAATTGTACCGTTTCGTGCCCAGGAACCACCGGCGAGAAGAAGGAGGAGGTGGCATTGGTGAGGGTGGAGATTCCGAGATTGAAGACCTTGACATCTACGGTGGCACGAGAGGCGGGAATTCCAAAGTCGTGGTATGAGGCGAATGTTGCGCCAATGAGCGAAATAACGGACAAAGATCGAAGGGGAAGCATGGTGGAGTCGAAGTGCGGGAAAATAAGCGTTGTCCGACGTCCAAGTGTGCCCCGTATTTATCGTGCTGGGAGGGGACCTCGCCGAGCTACATTCCGTGTTATTTCCGTAGTTTGAAACGTTTCCGTGTTACTTCCGTAGGGACACAGCAAAGACGCAGTTGTTCGCAGCCAGGACGCAGTCCGGTTTACCATCTCGTTGGGCTGCGGCGATGAGCTTTCACATTGCTCCAGGACGCGTGGAGGACGGCATCGTGAACGGCCAGATGAATTGGATGAAACTTGAAAGTTGACTCATTGCCTCTGACTCATCAGCTCGGTCAACAGCGGCAGATGTGGGAATTCTGCATCCCCGCCTCTCGGCTAGCGCAGACGCCTCAAGTTTTGAACTGCTCTCATCTCGTGCTGCCTGTCTCAGGATAACATTCGCAAGGCTGGCCTGCAATGTCGCGTCGGCTCGGCATCTCCGCAGCGCGCTGCGCGCGCTCCAAAGTTGTAACAAACTTGCCGCCGGCTACTCGTCATTTCGGCATCGTGATGCCATCAGTGTGCTAGGAGCCGCAAGCGCCGCGGAAGCGATACTGTAGTAATCCGATCAAGTGTTCACGGGTGACGGCTACCCGTGAACTGAACACTTTTGGTAGAGGTGATGGTGACGGCGAGATTTTGGGACCCACATACGCTAAAGAACGTCAAAATTTCTGGTCCGGCACTTGCCGGACTACCATCTATGGTAATTTCTCATGATTGCCGAGGAATGAACAGTTAGGAAAATGAACACCATAGGTCACCCTGTGAACAGTCGGATTACTACAGTAGATCTGTAAGGGACCCCAGGTTTACACGCCAGTCTTCGTGGGGGACGGAACTCGCTCCCACCCAATAGCTGTTCATCATCAACCTCCAAGTTTGGGGAGAAACGGTGGTTCGAACCCACCCGACGACATTCAACCGTTCGCTGCGTTTTTATTTTCGAGGGAAGAGTAAGGGGAAGAGCATACCCCATTTCGAACTTGCAGCTTGAGAACTCTCCGGAAGACATTTTACCGAAATCCTATATAAGAAGAGACAACGGACACAGCTTTTTTGATAAATCATGTGAGATAATCATGTGATATAGTCAGGTGATATATTCACGTGACCCTTCCGCGCAGCGGCAGCCTCTCTCCCGCCGTATCACGGTGCTCCACCAGCCCGCCTCGAGGTTTTCATTTAACCCAGCTTTCCCTCTGCCCCTCCTCTTTGCTCTGACTGCCTCAGGTGTGCCCCATCTCTCATATATTTTGCTGTCTTATCAAGTTATGATTTGAGTTTCCAGTTCAACTGTCTACCCCTATCTGTCAGCCATCACTCTGCCCTCTTTCTGCCTTTGTCATGTCTGTGTATCTGTTGATTCTGCCCTCCTGATTTACATTATGTGTAGCCTGTCTCTGAAATGCAAGCTTTTTCTGATATAAAAAAAATTGACATGGATTATTGGCTGTCTAACTCCTCCAAATACTCCCCAGTGTGCTCGGATTGCCTCACAAAGGCATGAATGTGAAAATTTGATAGCCCACAGAGACATTGTCAGCCTCAAAATGCTCCTCAGCCTGCTCAGATTCAATAATCTGCTGAAGTTGTGGCCAAAGGTTGACATACTACACCTGACACAGAATATGTGTCTCGGTGGGCCTGATGCACGACAGGAGGAAAAGAACTCAGCAAAATGGCTCCTGTATGTTGGAAGCAGAAGAAATATAGATGCTTCTGGGAGCATTGAACTTCCTGAAGTTACGAAGCTCCAAAACTGTTCCATCTATGATAGACACAATCTAACCTGGGATTTCGACCATACCTGCAGACCATAATCAGGATAAATACTTCCTGGAGCATACAATTCTCTCTGCAAGCAATGATGATGTGGATGAGCTCAATAACATGTTGCTGCATAAATTCCAAGGCAAAGAATCTATTTTCCACAGTGCTGATTCAGTTATCACAGAAGAGGAAGTTCACAGTGATTTCTAATACCCTGTGGAATATCTCAACTCTATCTGTGCATCTGGACTGCCTTTGACCAAATTGGCTTTCAAGGTAGGGCACCCAATCATGATTCTCCAAAATCCGGATCCAGCAAACGGTCTTTGTAATGACACCAGAGGAATTCTCATGAGAATGTCACCTCATGTGCTGGAGATTCAGTTTCTAGACGGTGAACACAATGGTAAAAGGGCTTTCATCCCATGCATCACCATTACTCCATCAGTTGAACAAATTGCTTTTGCTGTGAAGCGGCGGCAGTTTCCTGGCTGCCTTGCATTCTCAATGACCATTAAAAAAGGCACAGGGCCAGTCAGTTGATCATGTTGGACTAGATATTCGCACCGATGTCTTTGCCCATGGACAGCCACGTGTTGTACTTTCTCAATGCACTTCCAGTTGGCAAGTCAATGTTCTTTTTAAGAATGACAACAACAGATTCACAAAAAATATTGTATACCCGGAGGTGTTGCTCCATCAGTATGTCCTCCTCCATTTGTAAGAGAGATCCATGGGACTGATTTGTATTGCAGGTAATTAATGTAGATATGATAGACACACACTTCTTTTTCTTTTGAAAAAAAACCTACAACTGAGATTAAGCTGCAAACATGCCGCGCCGAAGGCACGGGTCTAAACTTGTATCAATGGTGCGGGCTTGTTGAGATGCTTGCCGTACAACACTATGCGTTCCTTTGCCCTCGAGTGTCGAATTGATGCTGATGGGACAGCAGACGTACTTCTGCGTTCCCTCGCTGGCCAGTCTTCGTGGAGAATGGTGCTCGCTCCCACTCGATGGATATATCAGCGTCACGTTGTATGGGAGAGCCGGTGGTTCAAATCCACCCGAGGACATCAGATATAGGACAGGAATTTTTTGTGCACCGTGCGAGAGATGCGGGAGCCGGTAAGGACAAGGATAAGGCCAACAGCATACCCTTCTTGGATGATGACACTCGTCCCCCAGTTAACCCAGCCCCTCGCGTTACGGTGATCCCGGAGTTTTTCTGGACACCTCCCAGCAATTTAACTCAGGCAAGGCACGGAGAGTGTGCACATATCCGCCGAGCCAGGTACCACTGAGAGCCTTCGTGGAGCAACGAAGCTCGCTCCTACCCCCTGGAGTGGACATTGAGATGAAGGGAGAGTCGGTGGTTCAATCCCACCGGAAAACATCATAGGTAGAGGATTCATTTTGTCTGGCCTCGTCGGGGGTCTCGCGGACGCTGTTAGATTTCCTTGTATTGGGTATTTCGCGGGAGATGTGGATTAGAGCCGGAGATTCAAACACGTCCAGCGGGCGACCGGTGACCCGGTTTCCCTCACAAGTCTCTTGGAGTATGGTACTCGTTCCAATCAATGGGGTGGACCGGATATACTGTAGTTTAAATGTGGGAGATGGTGGTCCGAAGGTTACGTCGGATGTAGCGAGGGGGAATGTGTGCCCCGAGCTCTAATCAGAGATTGCAGCAGTAGATCGATATCCCGAGGACAGACAAGGATACCACCGCCGAAGGTTAAGTGCCGCGGGCCGATGACGTCCAGGAGAGAAGGATAGCAGGTATCCCGCACACTAGGTTTACACGCAAGTCTTCGTGAAGTACGGAACTGGCCCACCCAATGTTAACTTTGTTCATTGCCAGTTTTGGTGCAGCCGAAGACAGTTGTTCCTTTACTCAGATATTTTTCGAGCAGAAATACAAAAAAAAGGACTCTCCACCTGGGAGTCGAACCCAGCTCACCCGCGGTATTCGTTTGGTTTTTAATCCCATTCGCTGACAGGCGGATATACTAACCGATATACTAGTGAAGACTGGTTGGTCGCGTCCCAAAAAGACATTACGATGCTAGACCCATCAACTTAACTCGGCATCTTCACTATTTTACGACTGAGCATCCGTGGGGGCGGGGGTGATTCGGAGTCAGTCGAAGACATTCAATCATCCATTGCGCAAGTGATGGTGAAGGGAATCAGAATTCTACACACAAGACATTGCACCAAAATACTAATGGCGCAGGAGGACGTCGATATGCTTGCTGGAACACAAGTTATCAAGGGTGTGTCTGATTGGTCACGCACATATAATGCACACTAGGGCTACTCGCAGGTCTTCGTGGAGTACGGCACTCCCTCCCATTCATTGAACTGAAACAGATCAATTACATGGGAGAGACGGTGGTTCGACTCCGCCCGAAGGACGTACAATGGATGTTTATGCCTTTTTTGGCCCGCGCAAGGTAGGAGCCGGCTAGTCATTATTGTGCAATACCGTTCATGAGCTTTATGGTACGGTGATTCCTTGAATATCGTTAACCATCAGGCGGGTCGAAGAGTTCGGAAGGAGAGTGCAGACAGGATGGAGGGTTCCTTTCCTTGAGCAAGCCTTCGTGGATCATGATGATCGCCCCGTACGGCAGGTTGAAACTCTGAACCTTGAACGGGGAGGAGGGAGTTCGATCCCTCCCGACGGTGTTACGATAACTTCACAATCATTTTTTCGTGGATCAATTCACTATGCAAACCTCGTTTGCTCTGCTAGGTATTACTTACCTGTAACCTCCGGCTTTGCGCCAACTCATCTCTGCGATGCGCGAACTTCAAGGTCGATTGCAGGCGTACTGTGCCAGCGGAGAACCGCCCCAGGAACGCTTTCGTGGATCACGGTGATCGCCCCCTGTCTTTGCAGATTCACCATAAAAGAGTGTGGGGGACGAGGAAGGACCTGAGAATTGCATAGCAATTTGAAACCCAAAACGACGGGGTGAGATGCAGTTAAGTGAGGAAATAGAACCGTGAGACGTTCAGTTTCATCTCCAAACACACTCATATTTGAACAGTTTTCAGCAACTTCCCGCAATTATATACTTTGGATCTCGACTCACTTTCTCGACATGTGAAGATTCCCAGATAACAGACATACCAAAAAGCTGCCCGAGATTATCACTTCCGCCAATACAGGACAATGGAATGGTCGGTGCAATAATTAATATAAAGCTAAAGACGGTAGGTTGGTCACTAGGATAGCCTCGAATTTATCAAAGTCGATATTGTCACCAAGCGTAATGTCATCGAAAGGAAGAACGTCCTCTTTGGCATCTGCCCGGGCGTTGTAACCTGTATGGAATATTCGACGCAGCGCTATGTTCAGGTTATTGAAGCTGAGGAAGGTCGATGTTGGGTTAGGGATGGGCTCCGCGAGGAATTGCCTTTTCTCTGCGCGGAGACTTGTCGTGGGGAGATGGTCCCATGCGTCAAAGGGCGGATTGTCGATCTTCTTCCCGTCGTGATACTGACATACGACGTATGCAATGACGTAAAAGAGTGATTCGAGATCAAATCGATAAATATGAGGTGGAGGAGGTCCAGTCACAAGGAGGTCCAAGGCCATGTACGGCTCGGTTCCAGTGCGCTGGTTCGATGTCGAGCGAGGTTCGTTGGCCAGGAGGACGGACAAGTCGAAATCATTCAAGACACCGTAAACCTCCCCAGCTATCTTGCGATACATCAAATTATTGCGGCTGATGTCGCGATGCATGATACCAGCTTTCTCATATAGCCATCGATAGCCTGTCGGGATAAGATTCAGGAAAAGAGGTCACTAATGCAAAACGCAGACATACATTTAAAGATACCGCGGAACGCTTCACCCAATTCGGCCGCATTCGTCAGCTCCGTGATCGGACGAAGTCCCTCCAGAACTACGATGTACAGAGCCCGGAGTTCGTAGTCGTCCCCAAAGTGCTTGGATAGATGCCGCTGAGGGGAATCATCGTCGAATTCTTTCTGCTCGGCGTGCAGAATCTTTGGGAGGTGGTTGAGAACCCAGGAATCGCCGGATTCGGTCGCAAATTCGGTGGCTTTCTTGATGAAATCGGCCTCGGGCGTTCTGGTTTTCGCCGGCCAGCTCCATTTCACGATCACGTCGTTCTCCTGGCCGTTCAGGTTCATCTTGGCCCGGGAGACGCATGTGCCGCGCCCGATGATCCCGTGAGCCTGGAAGATCGTTTCCCCCATGGTCAACGATCGTCCATCGTTCAATTCGATGGCGGAACCGTCGAAAGGGTGAGTTAGTACCCCACGGCGGTCGAAGATCTTGGTAAGGCGCGGGGCGCTCAAAAGAGGATGATATCCCCATTGATTCTCCGTAAGATCTGCGACGCCGTTGAGCATGGTGATGAACTGTGCGGTTTTCTGGCTAAAGTCGAAGGATTCCGATTTAACGATGATGGAGTGGTCGTAATACAGCAGCTCGAGGCGGTCGTTTGTGATAAGTGCGCCGATAACGTGGCTGCGAAGGCCACCGTACGTCAGTAATTCAAGCGCATAGCTGGCGCATTGCGTCCGCGGATCGTTCCCCTCCTCCGGATTCGCCTTCGCCGAGTTCGAGGCGCGCTTTTCGCCGGACCTCGTCGTAGTCGGCGGGCCAGAGGTTCTATCTGCTCTCGGTCTCAGTTCGCGAGTGCTGGGGGTAGGAAGCGGCTTTTTCGCTGCCTTCTTTGGAGGCGGAGGTGCGGTTGGAGGAGAGACTTGAGTCGAGCTGGAGGACTTTAGTGTGACTGTTCGTAACTGCATCAGAACGGCAGGGTCAGAGGCATATGAGTACGTACCGGGATCAACGCCACCAGGGACGAACTTGAACTCCCAGAATGCGATAAGCTTCATCCAATGAAATGCACCCGATCTGCCTGGCCCGCCCTTGGAAAGGTTGTCGGCGCTGGTGCGGGAACCGAGGGCTAACGCGGCTTTCCAAATACCGACCACGTCGGGCTTCCGCTCCGCATCAGACCCGAGAACAATGGTCGGATCATCGCGACAGAATTGAATTCGAGCTTGTTTCCCGATGCAGTAATTAGCCAGCTCGACGAAAGGCTGATACAGCTCGGTTTCGTTCTTGTACACGTCCCACCGGTTGTACCCGGCCATGTATTCCTGGAATTTCTTGTCATTCTCCATTCTGCTGGTATCCTGAGCGTTGGTAATGCGTAAAATCCATTGGAAAAACTGCGCCACGGTGATCGTCCTTTCATGAGTAAGATCCTCCTGGAGATACGGTGCGTAGTCCTTCTGAGTGTGCTCGGAGGCGTGATTGCGGTGTCCCGAACCCCTGCTTTGGGGAGTGGAGTCTAGGATAGGCGCTGGTGCGGATGGAGGGGTGGACATGGTGGTTGTGGCATAACAAATACAGCCACGTGAGCAAAGTGTCACGATGACATTGACAGCTCTTCCCACGGTCGAAAAAAAATCGGTTACTCGCACGACAGATCCGGTTTTAATCGGTCTTCCGACCGATTTGCCATCTGGGTTGCCTCCATTTCGCTCACCGCGGGCTTGACAGGTTCTCCTCGTGCACCTCACAACTGCACCCGTTCCCCCAGCGCTACTCGCCATGTCGTAATGTGACCGGAATGAGACAATGACTCGGACAAATATCCGGCGACAAAGAGGAAAGATGTGCCCGCGAACCTAGAACGTTTCAAGCGCATCATGAAGAAGCGTGTCGAAGCAGACAAAGTGGAGTAGATCGGACTTGTGCACATTTTATTTCTGAAATCTGAAATTTTATGGCAAATTACATTCTGACATTTGCGTAAAGAGGTAATGTGAAGCAGGTATAATCCCAGTCAAAAAAGATACAGAAATGAGCCGATGCTGCGCGGTGACACCGTCAGAGCTGACGTGGCAGGCGCTTCGGGGTCGCCGGCGGTCGTACATTCCTCGACAGAATTAGTGATGTCCGTGGCTTGGCTTAAAGCCAAAAAGCCAAGAAGCCAAAGCCCTGGCTTTGGAAAGCCAAGCCAAGCCAAACCCACGGCTTCAGGAGGGCTTTGGCTTTGGCTTGAGATATATGAAGCCAAAAGCCAGGGCTTGAAGCCCTGGCTTTTGACCAGTCAAATCTCATCCGAAACAGAGGTTTATCTGAGTGAATTTGGTGTGTTGACTCTTCTTCCTCCGCTCTTTCAAATCATTCATTCCAGATATTTTTCTGAGCTGACAATTTTACACTACGGCGAAAGATTTTCAACATATGAGGTCACGTGTCCGTTGAACATCCTACGAAAGAACCTCAACCATCCCCGAAAAGTATTGCAGTGTCAAGAATGGCTTCCTAGTGACCCGTGCATCCATTAGGCGTCAACGGTGATGTTACTTGGTCCCTCACACGACATGGCAGCATTTGAAAATTTTCACCGACAAGCCTTGAGCCAAAGCCAAGCCAAGCCAAGCCCCTTCTCAGGGCTTTGGCTTTGGCTTCGAATGTTGGAAGCCAAAGCCCGGTGAAGCCAAGCCAAAGCCATGGCTTGCAAGCCAAGCCAAGCCAAAGACATCACTAGCTGTCACAGAATAAGGAATAGGTAGTCATCCAGTAGTCATCCATTGTTGAAGGCGAGCGTGCGTGAGTTCGAAGGCGAAGAGAGCCCTCGGGGTCGAAGTAGCCAAACGTGTCGCCCTGAATCGAGGAGGGACTTGAGAACGAACACATCCCAGATGTGGTTCGGTGTCAACTTCAGCCCGAACTGTCATCCACCCGTTTCCAGGCTGGTGCGATCAGACAGAGCAATGTCGTACGACTTTGCGCAATTGGTCGCCGAGAACCTGTGGACCTTATGTTACTGGAAGTCACTGTTAAGATGAAAGCGGACGCACCAGCCCAGAACCATTGGCGATATCCACATATTGACCAGCTGTGGTTCGGCAAATTGATGCTCTCCGATTTGAATGAGTGCGGGGATCCCTCCATAATATGTTCTTATACCAGCATGAACAGAGAAGTTGTTGTGGTAATTCGTCTGACAATCTAGAGCGCAGGATTGAGATATCTGCTTCAATCGAGGACAAACACTTACGGGGACTGGCACGCCAGATGGACCGACCACGCAGGGCGAGCACCGTCGGCCAATGAGTATACAATTACTTGGTGCTGCTCTGCCCTCTTGAGAACGGTGCCGATCTTTGGGCACTCCGGCTTTGTGCACGTTCTTGTCGGGGGATACACGGTCAACGATGCTATACAGAATTTTAGGGCATGCCATAAGGGAAACAAAGGCACTCACTGATCCCAAGATGCCAGCCGTGTCTTGAATGTTGCCTCATCACGTTGTGATTGATTGTCCTCGGGGTCGAGCAACCAGACCTCTTTATTCAGAAGTACCCAAAGATCCATGGCATCCTGAACGGAGAGACCAGTCGCGCCGCTGAGGAACGTTGCCACACTTGGAGGAATTGCATCTGCAGGTGAATTAGGGTCCTGTCGTGCCGGCTGAGATAAATCAATATCCCGCTTCAAAAGGGACGCGAGGCGAATGAAATCAAGAAGCTCGAAGGTCGTGATATGGCTAAGACGGGGATGCTGTTCCAGCAGCTGAAGAACGGTGCGAAGAGCCATTTGAGCCAGAAGGAAAGGTAAAGCTGACGCTCCTATTCGGTTGAATGCGCGGCAATGTGCCGATCTAATATTACATAATCCCCGTCACTCCCCGTCAGGCACCCCGGTTATGGTTCCCCGGAAATCCCATATCCCATTTGTTCTCGCAATTCGGGGAGATTTGGATTGGAGCTGGATTTATAAACACGCAGGATCGTGTGCGGCAGATACACTCTTGCGAATTCCATGTGCGTACAGGCGGCACCCATCAAGCCTCGCAGATACCCATGCAGTTCTTCGTAGAGTACGGCACTCGATCCCATTCATTGAAACCAAAGGCAGCAACTGCATGGGACAGACGGCGGTTCGACTCCGCCCGAAGGACGTACGGTGGATGTTTCTTCCTTTTTTCGCCCGTGCAAGGTAAGAGCCGGTGAGTCCTTATTGTCCAAAACAAATTTGACAGAGATTGTGCGGGACTGCTCATGCGGTTGCTTTGCGGTACGGTGATTCCCTGAATATCGCTAGCCATCAGGCGGGTCGCAGAGTTCGCAAGGAGAGGGTTCCTTCCCGTGAGCAAGCCTGCGGCAGATTCACTCTTGCCGCAAGTTGTACCTATCTAGACTTGCAGATACCCGTGCAGTTCTCCGTGGAGTACGGCACTCGCTCCCATTTAGTGAACGCAAAAGATAGCAATTGCATGGGAGAGACGGTGGTTCGACCCCGCTCGAAGGACATACAGTGGATGTTTACGCCTTTTTTACGCCCGCGCAAAGAGCCGGCTCCTCATTATGGTCCAAAAGACATTTGACCGAGATTGTGAGGGACTCTTCATGCGCTTGCTTTGCGGTACGGTGATTCCTTAAATATCGCTAGCCATCAGGCGGGTCGCAGAGTTCGCAAGGAGAGGGTTCCTTCCCGTGAGCAAGTCTGCGGTAGATTCACTCTTGCAGCAGGCTGTACCTATCTAGCCATCCAGATACTCCTTCGTGGAGGACCATTGAGCAAAAAAGGTAACAAGTACATTGAAGAGACGGTGGTTCGACTCCGCCCGAAGACGTTCGGTGGTTACCTATGTCTGCGGTTTTTTCGCACGCGCAAGGTAAGACCCGGCTAGTGCTTATTGTCCAAAAGGAATTTGACACAGATTGTGCGGGACTGTTCGTGCGCTTGCTGTGGTATGACAATTCCTTGAATATCGTTAGCCATCAGGCGGTCAAGGAGAGTGCAGACAGGATGCGGGGTTCCTCCCCTTGCGCAAGCCTTCGTGGATCATGATGATCGCCCCGTCTACGTCAGCTTGAAATTTGAAACTCTGAATGGGGAGGGGGGGGGTTCGATTCCTCCCGGAGGTGTTACTTGGCTTTAAACCGTTTTTCGTGGATGAATTCACTATGCAAACCTGCTTGGTATTACTTACCTCCGGGCTTTGCGCCAACGCATCTCTGCAATGCGCGAACTTCAAGGTCGATTGCGGGCGTACTGTGCCAACGGAGAACCACCCCAAGAAATCTTTCGTGGATCACTGTGATCGACGCCCTGTCTTTGCAGAGTCGCCATGAAAGAGTGTGGGGGAGGCGGAGGTTCGATTCCTCCCGAAGGCATGTCGTGGTATTTTTTCTTTTTCTTTTCAGAGTTGGAGCTAGGCATCCTTTCAGGAGCAGGTAGAACCAGAGCCGGTAAGCCTTGATCGTGATTGTAAATGCGTAAATTATAACGAGTGAGGAGGAGGGCGGTTGACTCCTCCCAGACGAGGCTTGCCCCCCTCTTTTTGGCAGAAAAATATTCGATGCTCACTTCGCAAGGAACGAAACAGAGCGAACAAGCCTTCGTGGATCACGGTGATCGCCCCGCCTCGGTAAAATGCCGCCAACAGCCGGTAAAGGGAGGAGGTGGAGGTTCGATTCCTCCCGAAGGCACTATCACTCTTCTGTGGCTTTTCTCTCTCTTTTTTTGTGTTCCTTGTTGGAACATTCCTTTCGCGGCCGGAAATGCTATAGACGCACTATGCAACCCTTCGATTCCCTTCGCTCAAATATATACTATGCTCTAGATCGAACGCAACGTTCGTAAATGATACCGTGATCCGTCGAGTGAGGAGGAGGGTCGGTTCCCCCAAACGCATCGAGGCTTCCCGCACGCTTTTTGGCAGAGAATAATCCGATGCTCACTTGCACAGGACGAAACAGAGCGAACAAGCTTTCGTGGATCACGGTGATCGCCCCGCCTCGATGAAGAAGGCTCCAACAGCCGGTAAAGCGGGGAGGCGGAGGTTCGAGTCCTCCCGAAGGCATTATCCTTCTCTACATCTTTTTCTTTTTGTATCTTGTCGGAGAATTCCTTCCGCGGCCCGAGATAAAATGCACGATGCAAGTCTTCGAATGACTTCGCTCGAATTTATACTATACTCTAGATCGAACGCAACACGACGCCTTCCGGGCGCTGAAGCTTTTTTACTGTGAAATCGAGATGCGCTTGGCAACGTACCAAAGGGAGTAGATACGTCTTCGTGGATCACGGTGATCGCCCCGTCCGTGTAGGGATATAAGTTGGAAGCATCCAGGGGGGAGGCGGGGGTTCGATTCCTCCCGAAGGCATGTCGTGCTATTTTTCTTTTTTTCTTGTCGGGGTCGGAGCCAGGCATTCTTTCAGGGAGATTCAGCCAAGGTAGACACCGAGCTGGTATGCCTTCCCCTGGTCGCTGCGGATTCGTAAATGATACCGTGCTCCGCTAAGTGAATGAGGAGGAGGGGAGGGGAGGGGAGGGTCGATTCCTCCCCAGGCATCGAGGCTTCCCGCACTCTTTTCGGCAAAGAATAATCCGATGCTCACTTCGCACGGAACGAAACAGGGAGCGCAAGCCTTCGTGGATCACGGTGATCGCCCCCTGTCTTTGCAGTGTCGCCATGAAAGAGTGTGGGGGGGAGGCGGAGGTTCGAGTCCTCCCGAAGGCATATGCCATATTGTGGTATTTTTCTTCTTCTTTTTCTTTTCAGACTCGGAGCCAGGCATCCATCCTTTCAGAGAGATTCAACCCAGGTATGCGTTCATGGCGATCGCCTCGGCACTGTAGATCGTGAATGATAATGTTTGTTTGACAGAGGAAGACTGCGAATAATCCGATGCTCACTTATCACGGAACGAAACAGAGAGCGCAAGCCTTCGTGGATCACGGTGATCGCCCCGTCTTGGTAAGAATGGACTCTAAAAAAAAAGGTAAAACGGGGAGGCGGAGGTTCGAGTCCTCCCGAAGGCATTCTCCTCTACATCTTTTTTTGTTCTTTGTGGGAAAATTCCTTCCGCGCCCGGGAATAAACGCACTATGCCAGCCTCAGTAGCTCGCCTTCGATTGCCTTGGATTCAGATCCAACGCCTTCCGGGCGCTCAAACTTTTTTACTGTGAAATCGAGATGCGCTTGGCAACGTACCATAGGGCGTAGATGAACCTTCGTGGATCGGCCGGGCATCCTCAGGACGACTCGACCCAAGTAGAAACAGAGTCGATGGTGATCGCCTCGGCACTGTAGATCGTAAATGATTCCGAGTAAGGAGGAGGGTCGATTCCTCCCCACGCATCGAGGCTTTCCCCACGCTTTTTGCCAGAGAAAGACTGATAATCGTTCGATGCCCACCTAACAAGGAGCAAAACAGGGAGAACAAGCCTTCGTGGATCACGGTGATCGCCCCGTCAGCGTAGGAGTAGAAGTGTCCAACGGGGAGGCGGAGGTTCGAGTCCTCCCGAAGGCATTCTCCTCTACATCTTTTTTTTGTTTGTTTCTTGTTGGAGAACTCCTTCCACGGCCCAAAATACTGCAGACGCACTATGCCAGCCGCAGTAGCTCGCCTTCGATCGACTCCGCTCGAATATATCATTAAATACGCTAGATCGAACGCAACGCCTTCCGGGCGCTGAAGCGTTTTTTTTTACTGTGAATCGAGATGCGCTTGGCAAGGTAGTAGATGCGCCTTCGTGGATCACGGTGATCGCCCCGTCTCGGTATGGGTTCGAACAGTAGTAAAGCGGGGAGGCGGAGGTTCGAGTCCTCCCGAAGGCATTATTCTTCTTCTTTATCTGGTTTTTTGTTTCTTCCTTCCGCGGCCGGAGATAAAACGCACTATGCAAGCCTCAGTAGCTCGCCTTCGCTTGAATATATATATATACTACGCGAGGTCGAATGCAACGCAACGCCTTCCGGGCGCCCAAGCCGTCTTTACTGTGAAATTGAGGGCACTTGGCAACGTACCAAAGTGCGTAGATGAGCCTTCGTGGATCACGGTGATCGCCCCGTCCGTGTGGAGATATAAGTTGGAAGCATCCAGCGGGGAGGCGGAGGTTCGATTCCTCCCGAAGGCACTATCACTCTTCTGTGGCTTTTGTCTCTCTTTTTCTGTGTGTTCTTTGCGGGAGAATTCCTTCCGCGGCCCGCACCATGCGAGCCTTAAGAATATATTATTAAATACGTTAGATCGACCGCGGCGCCTTCCGGGCGTTAAAGTTTTTTTACTGGGAAATCGAGATGCGCTTGGCAAGGTATCAAAGGTAGTAGGTGGGCCTTCGTGGATCACGCCGATCGCCCCGTCCGACTTGGAGAGTAGAAGGATCCAACGGGGAGGCGGAGGTTCGACTCCTCCCGGAGGCATGCGGATGTCTTTTTATCGCGTCCGGGCTGTTATTAATTACTGACCCGTGAAGCGCGGTTGGCGACTCGCGCGGGCCGACATCCAAGGGCGTTGTCAAGTCTCCGTCATCGGAGTCATGATCACCAAACGAGCACCCTGTCTCGGAAGAAGAGGAGATATTTTTGGGCGCGGCGTGTAGTATTTTCAAGCAAAAAAAAACTCGCCAGGGAACGTCAAGTGGTCTGGGGAGGACACGGGCAGATGAGGAATAAATATGCTTCGAAGTTGATTGACGTAGTCCACTCTGTAAAGCAGGTGATTCCTCTGAGGCTGGCCGTATTGGGCCGCAGGTTTTTGGCAGTCAGCGCGATACGAACGCGAGAAAGGTACTCGAGAACCGGATTCTTCGGTGGATGTTTTCTTCTCCCGCCGTGCCTGATGGAGGTACGACAATCAGGCGAGCCGGCTCGCCATGTGTTTTGTCTTGGGCGGTCTAGGCCCTGTCCGTAATGTGGGGTCGATCAGATGAGATCTGATATCAGTGATGATCATCTGTTGGTTAAATACTCCCACCGCCCGAAAACCGCCCGCCACCTCTTTTTTTCCCTCTCCCTCTCCCAGATCGCATCCTTGATATCATCACTATCATCAAGGACGCCGCGTCGAGCAAGGACCAAGGAGCAAGCAGTACACCGACGCGTCGTCGATCTCGATGTCGCACGCCCACCACCCCGCGCCCCCGCCCGCGGCCCCGCCCGCGAAGCACCGCCGCTCGCCGTACGAGCGGCCCCAATCGCGCCCGTCCCCGCCGCCCCCCTCTAACGGCGAGGGCCGCAACACGCCCCCGCACGCCCGACGCGACTCCGCGCCCGCGCCGCCGCCCGGGCACGGGCCCTACGCGTACGAGATGCCGCGGTACGGGCAGGGGATGTACATGTACGGCGCGCCGCCCGGGTACCCGCCGCCGTACGCGTACGGGCCGCCGCCGGGCGTGGGCGTGCCGCATGTCGACGAGCGCGGGTACGACGGGCGCTACGCGCAGGGGTACCCGCCGCCGCCGCCGCACGCGCACGGGTACGCGCACGCGGGGTACCCCCTCCCGGGCCTCGCGCCGCACGGGGGGGACGGTGGCCCCCAGGCCGGGATGGGAATGGGCGCTAGTCCCGGGGGAATGAGTGGTGGAATGGGAGGCGGCGCGGGCGGAGGCGGCATGGGTGGCGGTGGGATGGGTGGTGGGATCGGCGGGGTGCCGGTGGTGCACACGGACGACGCGGCGACGAAGCTGAGCGACCGCGTGCGGCGAAGGTGCTTTAACTGCTGTACGACCGAGACGAGCACATGGCGCCGCTCCAACCTTTCTCCGGGCAAAGTCGTGCGTGTCTTCTCTGTCCTTACCTTTCCTTCATCGTTATCCGCTTCCTTCTCCGAGTTTTATCTTCTCATCGTTCCCTCGTCTTTCCTTTCCTCTTTGTGCTATCTCCGCGTGTTATCTTCCTCCTCCTCATTACTGCCTCCTTCCCCGATACCTTGCTCATCATTGCGCGTCTAGCTCTGCAACAAATGTGGCCTCTTCGAGCGCACGCACTCGCGCCCGCGCCCCGAGCAGTTCCCGCACAAGCGCGGCCCACTCGCGAGCTCCGCCCTGAGCGCACGGGTCCAGTCTAGCGCCGAGCAGGTACGCTGCGCTCCCTTCCTTCCTTATCGCATCCTCTCTCCCCACCCGCGGCGCGTCGCCCCCCTTCCCCCCGTCGCGCGCTGCACGCATCGTCCTTGCGTCCTTCCTCCCTCCATACATCGTCCTCGCGCGTGCGTGTCTCTGCGTCCGCATGTATCATCGTTGCCGTTTCGTAAGCGGACACCGCAGCGCGTTGGCATCCTCTCCATCCTCTCCTCCCGCGCTCGCTCGCTCGAATTGCGCTCCCACTTTCCCTTCCTCTCCCTCCCGTTCGCTTTCGCTGCGCGCCCGCTTCTCATTCGCTTCGTCCCGTCGTCCGCTCCTTCCCGTTGGCGCGTTGTCCGAGCCACACCGCGCCCGCGTCCGTCCCACTCCCCACGAGGGAGCGCGGCCCTCCGCGGAGCGCAGCGCCCAGTGTACGCCCACATCCCCGCTCGCTCAGGCGCGCGGCGGGTATGCACGGAGAACCGCGCGCGCGGAGGCGGTGCGCGTGGGCGTGGCGTGGCGGTACAGAAGTCGCTCGTCCGCATCCGCGCACGAGTATCGAGTGCTGTTGCGCTTGTCGGCGAACCCCTTGCCGTTTCATCTTCCCCCTCCCTCCTCGTTTTCTCTTCCGCTTATAAGCTCAGTCGCTGACCCCCCGCAGGCACCCTACCAGCCCGCCTACGCCCCGCCCTCCGCGTCCGCGTCTGCGTCCGCGCCCCCGTCGCAGCCGTACACCGCGTCGCTCGCGCACGACGCCGCGCCCCATCCTCATCCTCACTCATCTCAAAATGGCACCGGCGCACACCCTTCTTCGCAGCAAAACGGCAGTGCCGCGCACCAGCAGCAGCCGCAGAACGGTGGCGGCACCGGCAGCGCGCACGCGAGCCACCCGGGGACGCCGGCGCCGGCGGCGCAGCGCAATGGAGACGGCCAGCGACGGAGTGCGTCCCCACGGGAGCGCGAGGAGCGGCGCGGCGAGGACCGGCGGGAGGATGAGCGAAGGGAGGAGCGGAGGGAGGAGAGGAGGGAGGGGGCGTAGACGCCCGCGTCTCCTTCTCTGCTTTCTTCTCGTTTTCGTCCCCTTCGCCCCGACCTCCGAGCTGTGTCCTTTCCCCTCGCTGTCAGCTCCCTCCTCCGTCTCTCATATACATACCACGCGTCCGCACCGTCTTCGTTCCAATTCGCTCGTCGGCTCCGTTCCATTCTGCCTACTCGTCTCGCACCCCGTCCTCGCCTCGACTTCGCTCCTCTTTCTTCTCTTCCCTCCGTTCGCTACGGCACCTACTCGTCTCTCCTCTGCTTCCTCTGCTTTCTCCATTACTCCTCTGCCTACTCGATTCCTCTGCTCACTCTTACTCCCCTCCGTCTCCGTATCCGACTCGTCGCCTCGCCTCATACAGCACCCATGCCTACCTACCTACCCCCCATGCTACCTATCCCTTCGCCCCAGTCCCAGTACCAGCCCCACCTCGTGCATACGATACATCTAGATGACGCACGCTCCAAAAATCCGTCGCCACTATGGCCACTCCCCGCGCTCCTGATGTGATTTGCTCTCGGCCTTGGCTAACTTACTACATGGCTACGTTATTCTTACCTTACCAAGCTGCTCCATTTCGACCCTGCGCTCCATACGCTGGGCAGTACTAGTTCGCGACATCGTCTGCAAGGAATAGCAGCACGTCGCGCCTCGTTTCCCCTGCCGAGGCAGTCGAGCGTCACTTTTTTTTTTCGAAAAAAGATAATACTTAAAATTGGCGCCTACCTTATTGCGCCTCCCGGAGAATGAATAGCCGTACCTTCCGCGCAATAATACGCGTCTTGCCCACGTTCTTTCCTCGTTAATCGTATGTTGTGTGCATGTCGCGGCCCTAATTCAAAAGGCCTATGCACTGGAACATATTAGGCCTCCGAATGCTTGCTTGAACCCCTTGGCGAATGCGAAGCAGATTTTTCTTTGCAGGCGACTTCGACGTTGACCCTCCGTGCGTCGACATAAAATAAGGCGGGCTTCACGGCGCACTTGATACGTTGGGTGGAAATAAAATATGTGCACTTGGGCGGGAACTATTCAAATCACACTCACCACTGGCACGAGCTTTAGCCGCGCTCCAACGCCGTGTTGGAGCCAGATGGCAGATATATTCTGTTTGAAGCAGTAAGTGGGTATGCGTCTTCCTCGCGGGGTGAATACGCCTCTGACGTGCCTTCTGTTCATGACAGCGGCCCACATAAAATTCCACACGCGTCCCCTTGCGCGTCCTTATTTACATAAAACGCATGTACACCTACTTGCCTCCTACAGCACGGATCGTCCTGCCAATGCCCGTCAGTTCGTCATGGGCTCAGCCTGGGCTGTGTGATGCCATCGCGATGTGCGAGGATTACTAGAAAGAGTACAATAAGTGAAGTTATGGGGCGGACAAGCTCGTGGGCGAGGGAGAATTCATCAGTACGGCAGGGCCATGGGGCGCGCGGATGGGCCGATAACACAGGAACTGCACGCACATACGGGGAACCTGTGAACGGCGCAAGTGATTCCCATTCCCCGCCACCGCGTCAATTGAGCCAGCTAACCGCACCCCGGTCGGAGTCGGGCGGCGCCACCTCCCGATATGGCGTTTGAAATGTTTTTTTATATATTCTAATGCACTCGGTTGGCGCCCAGGACGACGTCTGCTCCCAGCCACCCTGCACACCCCTGGAGTCAACGTTATGTGTCCACCCACGTGCTTATTTGCTCCCACTCCCACTCCCCTGGCAGCCCCTGGCGTTCCTGGCAATACTAGCGAATTCGTATGTCGGCCTCAATTACCCGGGGGAGGATTCGGGGAGGGTGCTCGAAATGGGCTGCGATACTTGATATCGTGATTGCATGCCCGGGCGCCGTCGGAAATCGGGATCTGCGCATGCGGGGGCCTTGAAATTTATTCCGTTACGTCCGGGCGGAGATGATCTCCGGGGTGATGAATTGATGCAACCAGCTGATTGTGCCGCGTGGCCATGGATGCCGCGTGGTGATATCAGATGGCGCCATCTGATGTCGGCGATTGCCTTCCTCCGACAGGGGCGGCGTCTTGGTTCGTGGTTCGGGAGGGTTCGGTTCGTTTGCGCCACAGCACCTTATCGCCCCAAAGTCGAGGCGCTCCGTGCGTGTATTCAGGCCAAGACGTGTTGATTTGCCGACACCAAAATCCGCCAACTATGGCTTCGGCCCAACTAATCGGCGCCCATTCCGTAATTGTGAACTTCAAGTTTATGGTTATGCCTATATCCTTAATTGATTCTGCCTAAGGAAACACAAAGGGATGCTTTTTCAATGCACTTTGAAGTAGTCCTCGCGAATTGGCGATTCGAACCTCGAGCTCCCTTACCGCGCTTCTGACTGATGCCCGCTAATTTGTAATAATAAGCCGAGTAAGGTGATTCACGAACGCGTATCAGCTGCGTTTTCGTGCCTGGATGAGGGTAGTGTAATGCTTACCGCCGAGGAGAAGTATATTTGCACGTCTTCGTGGAGTATGGTGCTCGCTCCCACTCGATAACATATCGGTGGCGTGGTATATGGGAGAGACGGTGGTTCGACTCCACCCGAGGACAATTGAGCGGTAATCTCAAACGCTCGCGCAGCCTCTCCGCAACCACTTCCACTTGCTGTTGGATTTCTACATTGGATGCAGGTGCGCCCGTTGTTTGAAAGGATGCTGCACGAATTGAGAGTCAGCTTGGTGCTGTAGATCAGGATATTTTGGACAAGGCTGAAGAAGCCAGACCAATTTATGGGATCCTGGCTACGGCGACCCCGTCATTGAGTGAAAAGGATGAAACAAAGAGTAATGTGGTGGCCACAACAAACAGGGAGGATTGAGCTTTAATACAGCTTAAATACAATGGTATTTCCATCGTTTCCTGTCCCGTAATCTTATTTGTGATCCTGGTACAGTGGCCCTATAATGTTCTGCACGCGGTCGTTTCAGTTCATTTCTGTGCTGAATGACTTCAAATAAAATGTGAGCATCATCCTTGAGTGATACGAGGAGCTTTTGAGCCGTTTAAGTTATATCACATCTGTTTCGATGGCTCGTAATAAAATAATTGGGTGTTTTCTGAAGAACCAACTTGTTACACTCATTGTATGCGCGATGGTGTATATGGCGAGAAAGTAATTGCAAAATTAACCTTCATCACAACTTTTTTCACCCAAATTGATAGGTTGGGCTCACATGGGGGCATCCAAGTCGATGATTTCTGGTATTTTTCACGCAAAATAGCCCAAAATGCTCAAAATCACCAGGCATTCTTATGGGCGATATACTGTGCAAAAAGTATTTTTTGCAAGTTTAGACTACCCAGCGGAAATTTTTACAACTTTCGGAGTCGACAGCAACTTCAAACTGAATCTGGATTTGACTTGCAGCTTCAACGGGCCACAACTTGGTAATATGACAACTTCCCAGAGGGACAACTTGTGTATGACAACTTCAATTGACTACACATGTTGCACAATTCCAAATTGCAACTTGAGATATCGCTTTTTGTCGCAAGTGCAACTACAACTTTCCTCTCATACAACTTTGGCTGAAGACAAGTTCACACAGAAACAACTTTGACCTTCCGATTTTAGTAGATCTACCGGAGTTCATATTGAGTGTGAAGGCAGCCGTGACTTCCGCTTAGTTCGTACGAGATTTTCTTACCCTCCCATGGATATTAAACTGATAAATGGTTAACTGAGGAGAGTACCTGAATCTGTGCTGGCACGTGCAGTGAAACTGAGATTCTTGACTCAGTTACAATCAAGATAGCTTTAGTTACCATTCATAGCCTTGAATGTTAGAACACATATTTAAGTATGCATCTTTAAAACCGCTGACTGTACCATCGATTTGACGAGGAATTACAGTGTAAGCCGTACAATATCCCCTACCGTACAAAAACCTTTCAAAGGTCTGCCGGGACAGTACAGCCGTATTACAGGAGGATGGTCCGTCGAATATTTCTACTGCATTGTACAGCTTAACTTGGGTGCCCCGAGTGCTTCCAATCATCTCTTTGACAGCCATAGGTGCAAGACGGACGTGCTGCTGCACGATAATTGCTGTTCTAACTTCCGATGACTTCTGAGCCAGCTGTGGAACTTGAAGATAATAAATTGGGTTAGCCATTAGATTTCCTAGTACTCTACTCGGACTCAGAGCGGGATGAAAGAAGATAACGAATCAACTTGCCACGAGTCCAGTGACGGCCGGCACGGCACCAAAATGCGGACCCATGTCGAGCGTCCCGTATGGGCGGAGACTACATGGCATCCCAATGAGTTTTCATGTCCATTTCCTTGTTTTTTTATGTAATTTTGGCTGCACCTGTAACACCGTACTCGACGGTATGGTAAACCACGTCGGATGGGGGGTTGTGGTGCGATATTACGGAAACCGTATATTGTACATACCTGTAATGAAGCAACGCAGCGTTGACCGTGACATTTCCGTTACAATTTTTTTGAGGCAACGGGCATGACCGAGACCGTGACTGTTGCAAAAATTTGCAACAACCTGCCGTCAAAAGTTTAAGCCGGAAAAGATGAGTTTGAGGGGATTTCTGGAGTCCAAAACTCCAGACAGCGAGCTGCCCAGCCCCTTAGAATACCTTTATTAGTGTTGGAGATTTTCAAGATTGTTCTCCGTTGATATCACGGTTTTTTTCAAGCAAAGTGCTCACCGTGACCGTGACCCTATGAAAAAAAAAGCAATGCAACGACCTCCACTGTGAGCATAACCGTTGCTTCACTACAGGTATGTACAGTAACCATCCAACACGGTAGTATCTGAGCATCATCGGCCTCGGCAGTTATAGCATTAGACAGAGCAGATGAGTGATGCGACACCTGGTAAAAAAGCCTAATCGATCATGTCTCGGGCTGGAATGTTGACTTAACTTGGGGTTTTGTCAGGACCTCAGCAAATACGCGACTCAGAAATCGATCATTAGTGTCCCATTCTCTTAGAAACCTCATTCACGCAGACATTATCCGGAGTTATATCCATACCATAATGACTATCATATCTCTTCTGGTCAAATAGATAATTACATCCGACCCAGCTGAAGCTTTCCTAAGGTATCCGTTCCACCCACTGGCAGTTAAAGTCTCAAGCTGCAAGTGGGGCTGACAAAAGGTGTCGCTGGCTGCGGCTGGGTTCTCGTGAAGCTGTTTCCGGACCTAACTGAAGTTGCCTTCTTATGAGATACACATGCCCAAGGTTGCAACATGGGAAGCTGGAAGTTGCATCAATGCAAAGTTGCACATAGCCAAAGTTGTGTATAAATTAAATTTCAGAATCAAAGCTGTGCTTGATCTGAAGTTGTCATCTCTGTAAGTTGTCAAAAAAATTGTCAACAATCATCAAGTTGTCCTCCCAGCTTGGAAACAAACATGAAAATACTTTTTGCACAGTATGTTTGTCATATATGTGCCATAATATCGCCTATATGGCACATATACTGTCCAAAAATTATTCGCTGACATCTCCAGCCGTTAACAAGGTTTTTGCTTACAACTTTGGTGGAATTCTTGAAATTGTTAACAAGTTGGCACTGAGGGAACAAGTTGGTTCCAATTTACAACATCCCGTGCCATTCTACATTCAAATCTCAGTACACATTGGAGGGACTTAACATCAAGGGAGATTTGGCCAAAATGATGTGGCTGATTGGAACATTGATGCTATGGCCCTTTGCCAAGTCCCAAAACAGAAACCATCTCTTTCCGAGTCTATATTGCGGACAGGAGGTCCATCATCCCCCTGAACTGATTAATTTGGCCCATATTCATTGATGCATACAAAGCATCAAGGGTTTCTGGGACAGAAAGAAAAGGAAAATCAGAAGTGGTTCAAAGTAGGTATTTACGACCCATTGAGTGAAGTCTGGCCTGCATGGACTCAAAACGTGCAGGGGACCTTGCTTGATTGGGATAAAGTGAACCAGTGATTCTGTGTCGGAGTCCATATGTGTTGCGTACGAGTGACCACATGTGTTGCTTACGAGTGACCACAAGTAAATCCCCAGTCTCCTATCCAGCCTCACGTTACGGGGTTGGGGAATCTCAGTTGCGGTAATTTACAGTGGGATCCGAATAGTAATACAAAAAGACAAATACCATCATAGCCCATCAATCCATCAGTTCTAGAGCCAATTCAAACTCCGAACTTCAAACCCCAACCCCTCCGTGGCTGGCCTTTAACAAGTGTAAACAACATAGCCACAATTGGGGTGAATATTCTCTTCCCTTCCACAACCCGTTAGAAAATATTATTGGGCTACACCAAATGCCTTGAAATGTGTCCTCAGCCCTTCGGACAATTTTAAGGCAGGTTAGGGTTTCGACGAGGACGGTTTGCAGAAACCACGCTTGGGTGGTGGCTGTGTTGTTTACAGTTGTTAAAGGGCAGCCTCCGTGGAGGGGTTGGGGCCAAGAGGTGATTGATCTCTGGATCATGGACTCCTTCCCACGCCCCCCCCCCCCAGAAAAGGCAACCCGCATCAATACCATCAACGGCTCATCCGAGCCAGTTGTGTTGCATTGCTGTGCTCCTCAACGTGTCGCACACTCACTGTGTCCCCAATATGCTTTGAATGCTTAGTAGCCTTACTTCTGAACTCACTTTGAAACATAAAACTGCATATGGTCATATAATCTATTTACATAATCTAGCTACTTTTGTGAGTTTTTTTTCGTAGAACATAGGTTTCTAGCCACTGGTAGAAAGCATTTGTGGCAGTAAATTGTGACTCATATAAGATGGAGACAACTCAGACGAGCAAGAATTAGAGCAAGAGGTGCCGAAACCGAAATGCCGAGTTATGCCGTTGATCTCGCTTCGCGGACATCAGAGTCCACGATCCAGAGATCAATCACCTCTTGGTTGGGGCTTGAAGTTTGAAGTTTGGATTGATGCACGTGATAGTTGATGACATGTATCTGATGACTACTGATATTCTGCTGTTAAACCCACCACTGAGATTCCCCAACCCCGTAACTGAGGCTGGGTAGGAGACTGGTAAATCCCAAGAATCAATGGATTGTCCCGCCTAATGCCGGTAGGATGTTGATGGCTTGGCCAGGCTAGCTTCTGGCCATCAGATGCAACCCATTTGGCAGATGCGAGCAAGTTCAAGATGTAAGCTGTCTCGAGTTGTCAACTGCAACCAAAGTTGTAAGTTGGAGGCAAAATTCAATTGTAAATTGTCACTCAAAACCCTGCAAAATGTACTGAATTTTTGGACAGTATATCGCCCATACGCCCATACCAAAAATTCAGGTTATTTTACAGGGTTTCTGAGGACAACTTACACTTGGATTTGCTAGATGCAATTTAAATTTTTGGCTGACAACTCAGATGGCAGACATCTCGGACTAGCTAACATCCTCAAACTGAATGACATCTTCAGGTTTGATTGCTGGAAGCCGGCAGATCACCTCGGCTCCCGGCATTCCTCAGCACACCTCGGTAATTCTTGGGAATTTAAGCAGGGTCAATCACCTGGGGCCTGGATGGACTCTGGCATAGAATGACTACCTGATGGGATTCTCCTGAGGATCC